AAGGCACCCTGAGAGGCGGGATCTAAGACTCGGCCCCCAAGAGGCCCCCAAACTGCCTCCAAGAGGCCCCCCCACGAGATTCCAACGAAAATCCAATAGGCTTCATACTCACAACCCAGGCACGGTGGCGGAATGGGCCGAGGCCATTCGACACAGATCTCTAGTTCCCCCGAGTTCTGAAATCCCAACTTGTGCCCCAACGCAATGCGCGTCGTCGGCGCCGCCTGACGGTGCCACCTCTCCCAGCCCCTGTTGTATGGGAGCGAGCGGGAAAAAGGAGCGGTCAGCGCGACAGAGCAAGGACACGCACGTGATGTTTTTTTTGTGCCCGATCGCTAACTAACTACTGGCCGGGGCATGCGCCCCGCAGTCTGGTTCGATGGTGCACCTGCTCGGAAAAAGCGCGGCTGGCGGAGCAGATGCATCCACCACGTGGCTGGAGCGATCGGAACCAGCGTCCAGTCACGTTACATCGGGGAGGGGTGAAGAGGAGGAGGAGGATGGGGAGAAGGAGGAGGAGGAGAAGGAGTGGAGGCGAGGAGGAGGAGGAGGAGGTAGGAGGAGGAAGAGGGAGGGTGGAGGAGGGGGAAGAAGGAGGAGGAGGGAGGAGGAGGAGGTGGAGGAGGAGGAGGAGGAGGAGGAGGAGGAGTGAGGGGGAGGAGGAGGAGGAGGAGGAGGGGAGGAGAGGAGTGAGGAGGGGAGGAGAGGAGGAGGAGGAGGAGGAGGATGGCCGCGGGCCGTGTCGACCGCTCCCTGCACCCAAGCTGGACCTGAGTACTTTTCGGAAGGGCATCCTCCCAGAGGATCGTGCACATGCACGCCCCGGCCCCTGGCCCTACTGTTCCACCTCGGTTTACCAACTCTTTGTCGCACCCACACTTTCTAAGCTACACCCCGCCTCGAGGGGCGCGGCGTCTTTCTGAGGCCTGGCCATGGTGTTGTTCTGCTCGGGTAGGGCCGTCGATCGACCTGGACCTGGAGGGCTTGATGATGATGAGGAGGAGGAGGAGGAGGAGAAGGAGGAGGAGGAGGAGGAGGAGGAGGCGGAGGAGGAGGAGGAGGAGGAGGAGGAGGGGGAGGAGGGGGAGAGAAACAGGGAAGAGGATGAGGACGGGGCGGAGGAAGGGGGAGGAGGGGGGAGAACGAAAAGGAGGCAGGAGGGGGTGGGGAGGGAAGGGAAAGCAGAGGAGGCAGGACGCAGCATGCGCGCAAACTGTCGGAGCCCCGCGCCGAGCCCGGAAACCCGAGCGGACGTACGCGAGAGCTCGTGCTTCCAACAGCTCCTTCCGCTCGGGCTTCCTACCGCTCCTTCCCCCTTCCGGGGCGGGCGGGGGGGGGGGGAAAGGGCGCGGGAGCCAGGCCCCCGACGTCGCGACTCTGTGTCGCAGCGTCGACACCCATGCGTAGGCCTGGACCCCTGCCCCCCGGACTCGTGCTCCATCATGAGCCGTCTTTGGCCGGCCCCGAGGCCCGGGGAGGGGCCCCCGGAGGCCGAGGCGCAGCGCAAAGCCCCCCGCCGCGATTCTCTCTCGCCATACGCGAGGGGGTCCGGGGAGCACGCAGGGGGGGGAGGGCGCGAGCAGGGCGCTCGAGGAGGAGGAGGAGGAGGAGGAGGAGGAGGAGGAGAGAAGGAGGAGGAGGAGGAGGAGGCGGAGGAGGAGGAGGAGGGAAGGAGGAGGAGGAGCGGAGGGGAGGAGCAGGAGGAGGAGGGAGGAGGAGGGGAGGAGAGGAGAGGGAGGAGAGGGAGGAGGGAGGAGGGAGGAGGGAGGAGGGAGGAGGAGGGAGGAGGGAGGAGGAGAGAGGAGGGAGGAGGAGGGAGGAGGAGGGAGGAGGAGGGCGCGAGCAGGGCGCTCCGCTGGGAGGGCGGCGGCCGCGGCGCGGGGGCACCGGCGGAGGCCACCCCCGCCCCGCAGGGGCGCAGACCCGCCCTGCGCCGTTCGGCCCGCGGGCCCAGGGCGGGGCGTCAGTGACGGGGAGCGGCCAAGGGGGGGGGCGGCCAACCAAGACATCGGGCGTCTCGAAGAAATCGAGACAGAGGGTTTTTCACAGTTTTTGGACTCTCGGGGCCCTCGCCGGGCCTCGGGGCCGTCGAAGAACGACTCGGGAGGAAAAACCGGTCCCGGGGAAGTGGTCGGGAGGTCGGGGGCCCGCGTCTCGGGAAAATCGAGACGTCCGACGTCTGGGAAGAGGGGGGCGTCCAAGAGGGGGGGGCGCAAATCCTGGCCGGCGGCATGTGCGCGGCAGGGACGTGACGAACCAAGAAGAGGCGCCGTGAAATCTGAGGAGATATCACGGCGCACGCCGTGATATCCACCCCCCCCCCTAGTCATCACCCCCCCTTTGCCGCCCCCGACATGCACCGCATACTATGCCTGGATTCGTTCTGGTCCCGCCCCAACGCGGTATACGGTGCACAGTTTTGGGGCTCCTAAGGGCCGATCATAACTGCGCACTGTACCCCACTCCTGGGCCGCAGAACGACAGCGCCTCGGGAGACGCCGACGCGGTGCGGCGCATACACGTCGTCCGCGGATCAGTAGTGGCGGATCGCTCTGTCCACGTTGTCCTCACGGCGGAGGAGCCCCCCCCTCTCTTGAGAAAGACAGGCGTCGTGCTGGGCGGGAGGGGTCCCCAGACTTCGTCGCGCTGTGACAAAAATCACGACGGGAAGCTCTTCGCTATGTTCGGCCTCCAGGGGCCCTTCCCGGGCCTCGGGGCCGCCAAAAAACGACTCAGGATGAAACACCGGTCCCGGGGAAGGGGTCCAGACCTCTGGGGGTAGACGTTGTGACAAAAGTCACGCCGTCGGGGGTCTGGGATCGTGCCGGGGGGGGGGGAGGGGTCGGGAAGATGCAGGACGCGGCTGCGCAACTGGCCCGTTCAGCACACGCGATAATAAATACGGGTGATCTGACCAGTTCGTCCCAGCTCCATCCCCCCACCCCCCCAAGACGCGCCCAAGAGGACGACGCGGGCAACCACGGCAAACCCACGGCAAGCCCGCCACCCCGCGCCCCGAGTAGACGACACCCGGCGCGCGCGGCAGACCCCCGCAGCGAGCCCACCGCGCCGAGGCGGCGCGTGCCCGGGTGCCCGCGGCGCCCCCCCCCAAGACGCCCCCGGCCAAAAAAGGCCGCGCGTCGGAACAAGCGGCGCGGCGATCTATATTTTCGCCCAGCCCCATCTCCTCTTCCTCCTCCTCCTCCTCCTCCTCCTCCTCCTCCTCCTCCTCCTCTTCCTCCTCCTCCTCCTCCTCCTCCTCCTCTTCCCCTTCCTCCTCCTCCTCGTCCTCCTCCTCCTCCTCCTCCTCCTCCTCCTCCTCCTCCTCCTTCTGGTCTCCGCGCCAAGCCTCCCCTCAGACCCAGCCGCTGCCACAGAACGCGCCACGGCCGCCTCTCCGTCACCTGCGCGCCTCCAGAAACCGCTTCCCCGCCCCGGGACCGTCCAAAAACGCGACTCTCGGTGTGAAGCGCCGGCCTGGGGAAGTGGTCGAGATCCCTGGGGGTCGGCGCCGCGTCAAGGCTGCAACGTCGGAGGAGAGGGTCTCTCCACCCTGCCAGGGGCTGGGTGCACGGGCCGGGGCTTCCAAGGCGCCTGGGCCAGTGCACACTGCCGCCTCGTCGCGGAGGCGAGGTGCACACGTGCGTCGGCTCCTCCCTCCTCCCTCCTCTGCTTCCAGCTCGCGCAGGGTCCTTGCAGATGGGGCAGTCCGTGCACCGCCTGAGCCACTCCTCTACGCAGCTGGAATGGAACACGTGGCGGCATGGCAACCGCCGGCACTCGTCCCCGATCTGAGGAAGAGGGGGAGGAGAAGGAGGAGGAGGAGGAGAAGGAGGAGAAGGAGGAGGAGGAGGACGACGACAGACGACGAAAAGGAGCTAGTGAGTGAGTGAGTGAATGAGTGAGTGAATGAGTGAGTGAATGAGTGAGCGAGGGAGGCGCTCCGCGAAAGGGACCCTTGACGACTCCGATAAGACCGACAGCTCAGCGCACAGAGGCCTTACATTTACCACCGTGGTGAGACACGAGTCAGAAGGAAAGGAGATGCAGCAACATGCAATCTCTGGATCCCGCAGGGTCGAACATCACCTGGGCGACTCCGACGTAGGACCCACGGGGGCCCATCCGGAAAGAAAGCACTTCTGGGACGCGCCGAAGAACCCAGGAGGTCCTGTTTCCGCGGGAGGACAAAGGAAATCCCTGGCGAGGAGTTCGAAAACGGGGGTAACCCCCGTCTCAGATATCGGAAAAGGCATGAACTCTCTGCCGTAGGGGTTCTCGCACGCAGGGTTACATCCCCCTCGGAGCAACCAGAGGAGGAACAGCGCGAGAGCCCAGATTGCAAATGCAACTCAACAACACTCTAATATAGGTGCTGTACTCGAACTGTACGCGTGCTCGCTGCATTGTGCTAGCTTTTTCAGCGGTGGTACGACTTGTACGAGGAAGTACGTGGCAATTGCAACTCAGTGCCAGTTGTGGTCTAGAACAACCTGCACCCTGGTACTAGTCGAATTAGGACCAGGCGCATTCTGGTTTTAGCTGCGCGCTAGTACATGCTAGTACCAATTGTACTCAAGTGCTAATAGTTGCATCCTATTCGGACGGGTTCAATTGTTCCGGTGGCAAGGCGCTCGCAGAAGAAGGAAAGACCTCCACGCGGCGCCAGGGGCCCAAGGTCCAACAGGCTGCCGCGATGAGGCCCCCACCCGCAGAAAGAAAAGCAAATTCGGCCAGCGGGTTGGGGGGCCCAGGCATGAGTCGCGGAGGCGATGGTCGAACCTCTTCGCCCGCCTGTTCGTCCCTGCGAATGACATGCCTCTGGCAGGTCGGGCGACGTCTTACCGCTGACGACGCTGCACAGGAAAACCACTGGCGGCGCTGACTTGGAACCGAATCGGCCCGTTGTTCCCGGGCGCACAGGCAAATCAAGGAGCCGATGCGCATGCGAACGATCGCACGCGCGCGCGACAGCCCGACAAGCCTCGTCGAACATAAACTGACACGCTGTTCGAAACCGAAGCGCGTGATAATTCTGGCACTTTTTTTAGAAAATGCGTTCTTCAAACTCTTCCTGCGCGCTGCGCCCGGCACCTGCGCCGCTGCCTCGCCCCGGGGCCCGCGCCGCCGACGCGTGGCCCGACGGCGCCAAAACTGCGCGCGAGTCGGGCCTCGCAGCCGTCGATTCTTCGTTACTCGAAGCGTCGGTTTGCAGCGGGAGCGACAGATTGACAATCTCCCGCGCCACGATGAGCCCATCCTCCACGGCCGCCCTCGCGCAGCGTCCAGCAGACGGGGCGTCTGCGCGAAGGCCCCGTCTCCGAGACGGGGGCTCCGTCGGCCTACCCGCGATCGATCTATCCACTGGCGGCCCCAGGGCCCTTGCTGGGCCTCGGGGCCGTCCACCAACGACTCACGATGAAACACCGGTCCCGGGGAAGGGGTCCAGACCTCTGGGGGCCGACGTTGCAAAAAAATCACGGCGTCGGGGGTCTGGCTTTGGAGCGCATTTGGGACCAGACTCGCCCCTAGACGAGAAGAGCGAGGAGGGGGAGGAGGAAGAGCGAGGGAGATCGGGAGGAAGGGTCACAACGCGGTCCGAATGCGGCCCAGATGCCGGAGAAGCTGGTTTTGACGTCGCCGCCCAGGGCTCCCCACGGACGGGCATCGAACACCCGGGACGGCGGTGCAAGGCGCGGGGGGAGCTCCGCCCCGTGCCCCCGACCTCCGTCCGAGAGGCGGCCCGCTCTCTGCCTCCGGGATGCCCGAGCCTGCGCCTCCGTGTCCGCAGCGCGCCCGTCGGCGGCCGGCCCTGCCCGCGGACGTCCTGCGGCTCCCGCCCGGGCCTCGGCTCCCGAGGCGCCCCGCTCCCTCCACGAGCTCGAGCGCTCTCGCCCCCAGACGGCGCGCGTGCCTCTGCCCGCCCGCCCGCGCGCCCCTCGCGGCCGACCGCCGGCTGCTGCACACGTGCCCCGCCCGTGCAGAGCTCGGCCCTCGGGCCCTGGGCGGACCGTGCCGCTCTGCCCGAGCGAGCGCCCCAGACCCAGACCCCCGACGTCGCGCTTTTTCCGCAACGTCGGCCCCCTGCTGTTTTTCGTCCTGGGTCGTTTTTTAGCGGTCCCGAGGCCCGAAAAAGGCCCCCCGAGGCCAGACGTATGGAAAAACCGCCCGTCGCGACTTTTTTCCACAGCGCGAGGAGGTCTGGGCAAAAAGCCCCGGCCCGCCTCGGTCGTGGGAGCGCCCCTTGAGCAGCGCCAGGCGGCGAGCTGGGAGAGGCCCTGCAGGCGGCCGAGAGGCTGCGGGCAGCGGCCCCCGCAGCGCCGCGCGCCCTCCGCCTCGCCGAGCCTCCCCGTCGCGCTGCTCCGCTGCAGCGGACCGCGCGCCGCTGCCGCGCGCGCGCGCCCCTCCACGCCACGCCCCGTCGCGGCCAGCGCGCCGGGTGCGGCCGCGCGCGGCACACGCGGCGCTGGCCGCCGGCGCTCGCGCGCGCGCGCGCGCCCCGCATGCGCGCCGAAGCTCTGCTCGAGCCTGGCTCGCGCGTCCTGCCCGCCGCATGCGGGGCGGAGGCCCTGGCCCAGCTCCGTCGACCGCGGCGGGCCCGCGAGGCCACGAGCGATCGCCGCAGCAGAGGAGGCCGCCGCAGCGGGCAGGGCAGGTCCCCTCCCCTCCCCAGGAGGAAGCAGGCGGAGCAGAGACAGCCCCCATGCTCACCTGCAGGCATCTGCGACGCAGAGCTCAGGGCCTCGACGAGCAGGAGGAAAGCGTCAACCTCCGACGTCTGGATCTCTTCAATACGGCCCCCCGGAGCTCTGGACCCCTTCCCTGGGGCCAGAAACTCGTCCGGGATTTGCTCTTGACGGTCCCGGAGCCTGGCGAGGGCCCCCAGGCGCCGAAAACGAAAAACGTCTGTCTTGATTCTTCCATTGCGTTGGAGGTCTGGGTCCGTGAAACAGAGCTCCGTGTCTGGACCAGCAGGAGGCTGAGCTGCCCCTTGCGGGGCGCCCACTCGGCCACACGCAAGAGTGACCCTGGGTAAGAGTGACCTTTCGTGCGCAGCTTGTGTGGTGGGCGGGACGCGAGGGGCCAAATCCAAAGCGCGCAATGCTGCTGCTATCGCGTCGCATTCGTCGATTGTGGGACCCCAGTGGGCCCGCACCGGAGGAGGAGGAGGAGGAGAGGAGGGAGGAGGAGGAGGAGGAGGAGGAGGAGGAGGAGGAGGAGGAGGAGGAGGAGGAGAAGGAGGAGGAGGAGGAGGAGGAGGAGGAGGCAGGAGCGAGGAGGAGGAGGAGGAGGAGGAGGAGGAGCGAGAGAGGAGAGAGGAGGAGGAGGAGGAGGAGGAGGAGGAGGAGAGGGAGGAAGGAGGGAGGAGAGGAGGAGGAGGAGGAGGAGGAGGAGGAGGGGAGGAGGAGGAGAGGTGCGAGGAGTGAGGAGGAGGAGGAGGAGGAGGAGGAGGAGGAGGAGGAGGAGGAGGAGGAGGAGCTCTTAGAGTCGAGCCCACGGCCAGCGGCCCCAAGCGCCCCGGCCAGCGCGGGTGCCCACGGCCACCACGGCGCCAGCGCCCGAGGGCCTCTACATAAACTACAAAAAACCAGGACGGAGGCTCTCCGTCGTCTCCGCCTCTGGGGGCCCCCACGGGGCCCCGAGACCGTCAAAGAGTGACCCAGGGTAAAGACTCTGTCCCAGGCTATATAGAGGTCTGCCAACTGGGGTCGGAGTAGATGGGGTCGGAGGATCGCGCCGCATCGTCGATGCACCACCGCTGCATCGACGATGCGCGGGCGACGTCGGCGTTGCGCCAGCGACGCTGGCGCTGGCGTGGAGAAAATTGGGCTCCACACCGAGGCGCATCGCCAATGCATCGGCGATGCTGCGAGATCTTCCGACCCCATCTTCTCCGACCCCATCAGGAAGGCCCAGGGGGGCAAGGGTCGGGACCTCTGGGGACCCGTGTCGAAAACGAAAAAGTCCGAACATCGCAAATCGCGGACGGGTATCGGCTACATGCAAGAGTGACCCTGGGGAAGGGTGAGCTTTGGTGCGCGGCTCTTTGGGGGCCGCGGGGGGGGGGGGGGGGCCAAACACAAGCGCGCAAGACGCTGCTATCGCATCGCGCTCGTCGACGGGGCGACCCCAGCGGGCCCGCACCAAAGGTCCCTCCGGCGAAGAGTCACTCTCACGCCTGGTCCAAGGCAGCTCTGCCCCGCAGTGTCCGCCTCGCTGCGGGGCCGCCTGGCGCGGGCGCTTCGGCGCCGCCGCTGCCGCGGGCGCGCTGTCCGCCGCCCGAGCGGCGCATAATAAGGGAACCAAAAGGCACCGACCTGCTCCCGGGGAACCTCTCCGGGGGTGCGCTCTGACCAGGCGCGTCGGCCCAACGAGGCTCCGCGGACCTCGGCCGGGAGCACAGCGCGCGGTCCCCGCGGCGCGCTCGCGCGCGCGCGTCGGGCAGAGGCGGCTCCCGGCGAGGCGCGCGCCGCTGGAGCCCGAGCAGCGGGAGAGTGGCTGAGAGCGCGCAGCGCGGGGCCCCCGAGGCGAGGGCTGCGCGTGGGAGGGGGGAGGGGGCAAGTGCGCGCTCCCCCTTCGGCCGCCCCCGGGGCCTGAGCGCCGCTGTGGCGCCCTGTCTTCTGCGAGCCAGAGGAAGAGGAGCGCCACGGACTGCCGTCTGACCTTTCGGGTGCGCGCGCCCTGCGCAGCCAGCCTGCCAGAGGAGAGCGCCACTGCCAAGGCAGGAAGGCGTACAAGAACACGAACGCGAAGCGCGACACCCGTCCAAGGGCAAGAGGAATCCGCGCCCCTCAGGGGGGGGGGAAGAGGAAGAGGAGGAGAAGGACACGACCAGGAAAAGGAGCAGTAGGAGAAGGAACATATGAGGAAAAAGAGGAGGAGGAGGAGGACGAGGAAGAGGAGGACGAGGAAGAGGAGGACGAGGACGAGGAGGAGGAGGAGGAGGAGGAGGAGGAGGAGGAGGAGGAGGAGGAGGAGGAGGAGTGGGGCGCTGGGGGAGGCCGCCGACCGCGAGGCCTGGAAGTCCCCAAGGCAGATCATGCAGGAGCTCTGGGACGTCGGCTCGGCGGGGGGCCTGGGGGGACGTACCGTTGACGCTGCTCCCCGTGCCACTCCCGGGGTGCATTCTAACGAGAACTTCGAGGAGAACCCAGTCGCGGTGACGAGGGCGCTCCAGGACGAGCAGAGGCATCGGCACCTTTCCCTCCTCCGAGGGCCAACTCAGTCTCTCGACCTCGGCCAGGGTCTCCTCGAAGAGGCCTCTCCGCTGCGACACGATGTCCTCCAGCTCGCGGGTGGTCCGCTGGCTCTGGAGCAGCAGCATCTGCAGGCCCGTCGGCAACTGCGAAACCTGGCTCTCCGCCTCCTCCTCCGCCTTCCCCCCCACCCCTCCTTCCCTCCCTCCCGCCCTCTTCCTCTTCCTTTGCCTGTTCCCTCCCTTCCCTCCTCCGCCTCCCTCCGCCGCCTCCTGCCACTGCGCACGGCTATGACAAACATCCCGCACTCCACGACCTGAGAACTCAACCGATGGCCGCGCACCGCCCGCGGTGCCGCTTTTCCCGCTCCGCTGCCGGCCCTCTTCGCGCGCGCTGGTCCACGCATGTGGCTCCTGATGTTTGGTGCCCAGCTTGTTGCCACTGCCAGCTCTTCTCACACGCATGTCAATACGGGCTCACGTGCGATACAGCACGTTAGAATGCGCAGAACTAGCTCATGCCATTTGGTATCGCCTGATAGGCATGCTCCGACCAATGAGCTCCGTCTCGGCGAGATTGGCGATGGCCCGCTGGACCTCAGCATCGGTGGAGAAGCGCACGCATCCATATGTACCCCATCAACGGGCCTTAGACGGTGCCGTCCTCGGTGATCGGTCTGCTGTATTCCACCCTGCCTGCCTGCTTCATGTGGCCCTGCAGGACGCGCCAATCAACGTCGTAGGAGCACCTCCCGACGCAGACCAGGTGCTCGCCGTACATCGGCCAGAGCCCTTGCCGCCTCCGCCCAGGCGAGCGGCGCCACTATCCGCTGCCACCGACGGCCCCTCTCGCCCCTGCTGGCCCACGCATGTGGAGGATGATGTCTGGCATCCAGCTCTCTCGCTGCTGAGCCGGCTGCCACTGCTGGTTCGTCTCGCACGCGCTGGCCCGCGGAGGTAGCCGATGACGCCGAGTCTTCCGCCTCTCCTCTGCCTGCAGCCGCTGTGGCTCGTGTCGGAGCCTGTCTGCCCGCAGGAACCCGACGAGGGCGCGGTTGCCTGCCTTGGCCACCTTCTCGATGGCCACTCGCAGTAGTAAAGGATCTCCGCCGCCTTCGTCGTGGTATCTGTTGCGATCGCTCTCATAATGGTAGCGTTCGGGCCCGCCGCTCTCCTCGTTGTTACTGTCAGCCGTGTCGCTGTCGCCTCTGTCTGCTGTAACTGCCGCCTCTTCTCGCACCACTGCCCTCGTCCCTCCTGCTCAACGCGATGTCCCCTTATCCCTTTCCGTCGAATACGTACGCATGCTGAGCGAGAGACAAACCTACCAGGGCCTGGTGTAGATAGCGGGCGCCACTGCCTGCTGCCACTGCCGCTGCCACTGAAGCCCTACACGCGCCACTGCCTGCTGCACTCCTGCCAGCTGCCACGGCGCCGCTGCCCGCACTGCTTCTCCTCACACCACCGCCTGCTGCCACTGCCGGGCCTTATCGCACCACTGCCTGCTGCCACTGACGGTCGTTCGTCCTCCTCCCGTAGCTGATGGTATCAGGCTCGTGCTTCTCGGCACCACGTTCGTAACTGATGTTTTCGGGCTCGCACACACCTCTGCCCGCTGACACTGCCGATCCTTCACGCACGCACCCGACCGCAGATGCAGCTGACGACGTATGTTGGCCAACTGTATCAACGCTGCCCGCTGCCGCTGCTGCGGTCTGCTCTTCTCGCTCGCGCTGAACTGTAGCTGCGCTGCCACTGCCGCTGCCGCTGCCGCTGTCAGCTCTTGCCGCACCACTGCTTGCTGCCACTGCACCGTTTCCCACGCGGCCTGGTCTCGCACCACTGCTTGCCCCCACTGCCGGACCTTCTCGCACCAAGGCCTGCCAGTGTCGGCGTCCGATGGCCTGGCGTCTCGCGAGGAAGGCCTTCCGCGCCCGCCCGGCCATCTCGAGGGGTCCTCCTCGTAGCTGACAGCAGCGGGCTCGTGCTTCGAAACGCTTTCCTCGTAGCCGATGGCATCGGGCTCGTGTCTCGCGACTCCGCTCTCCGTCGCTGGGCGTCCAAGGTTGTAGCCGACGGCATCGAGCTCGTGCTGCGCGTCGCCGCCCTCGTAGCTGGCGGCGTCGGGCTCGTGCTTCGTGACGCCGCCTCGTAGCTGATGGCGTCGGGCTCGTGCTTCGGTGTGCGTCTTTCGTAGCTCATGGTATCGTGTTCGTGATTTTCGGCGGCGCGCTCGTAGCCAATGCGACTGCTGCCTGCTG